TCGACGATTTGGCTTGACTTGAATGACACGTCTGCCTTGCGACTAACAGGGACTTGGGGCCGTGTATTAGTAAATGACTCCCCGATACCCACGATTTGGTATCAAATCTCGATAAGGGGTGTTGATGAGACCTAGGTTTGGTCAAATCTGCCGCGAAAACCTATCCCGGGTAAAGGCTTGCTCATATAAGTATCATAAACTATCGCCGTCTGACTTTCGTACTAACGACCGATTTAAAATTTGATGCAAGCTTTTGATGTTAATGATGAAAAATATCGAATTTCGGTTTTTCAAGCATGAACATAATTAGGACTGATGACATTATACCAGTTGGTATTGCTTGTATATAGCTATCAGATTGGATGTCAAACTTTTCAATTAGATTGTAAAGATGAATTCGGAGAAAAATAGATATAGATAAAATTCCAAAGACTATATAGGGTTCCAAATAGAAAAGGACGTTTGAATAAAAATGTAAAAAATAGGCAGAATAGTAAAAATAGATAAAAAGTTCGTTGCAATTACATAAACATAAAAACACGACTCCCTGTCAGGTACAATATAACATAAAGCAAATTAAAAATTTAAGCCCTATCAATAAGTTGTGGTAGAATGAAATGAAGGTAATAGGTAAATCTAACTTCCTCATTCGCTATTCTGGATCAGAGCCCCAGTTTTAAGATGAATCCATTCACTAGTTCCAAAACTAAGCGAAAACAGCAACTTAGATATTTTAATCTCTTTTATTATGATTGCTGTCATAAATGGAACTAGCAACAATTAAATCTAAGATATGAAGACGAAAATGGTGGCCCCCGGTATCGTCGCAGGTCAAATGACTCAGAGACTAAGAAAGCCAGATTATCGAATATTCACAAATAAATATTCTATTGAAGGTATGAAGATCAAGATGGTGTGGCCTTTTGTATGGTCGCAGTCTCCTTTCGTTGTATATAAGTTGTTTGACCTTGTTTTCGCAACTTGGTCATATTGGTATATTGAATATTCTATTGCCTGACAAATAGAAAACTATAATAAAGCATTTTAGTCAGATGAAGAACAATTCAATACAGAGCATCATTATGGAAAGAAAAATAAGCTACAGGATGGTGCGAAATTCTTTATCAACCCCATCTGGATATTATATTTGGCAAATTCATTTCGTATTTCCATTACAAACAAAGTAAGCAGATTTATCCATAAATTATGGTCCGATGAAGTAAAAATATAAATTGAAATTGCTCACTAGGGCATTGTCAGATTGCGAAGGCAGTAAGGAGGGGCAGTCAGTAAGCAATGCTGTCGTAACAATAGTCTCCGAAGCGCCATGTCTACTAGAAGCGAGGCTGGTGCAAAATGGGGACACTGTTGCGGGACATAGGCAAGAGGAATTATCATAAGGGAAAGAGTATATAGGAATTGACTGAGATGGAAAGTCTGAAGAAGGCATAGTCACGGGGTAGAGATGAGGTTTGATGGTAGATGTTGAGTAGAATGGAGAATTACAAGATGGTACTAGAGGATCATGAGGAAGTGAAGAAAGAAAGGGAGTAGAAGGGGGATGTAAGGTATGAACAGGAGGGGATAGAAAGGAATAAGCAGATAAACTAGCATGAACGTCGATTATGCAGTCAGAGCCGGCACAAAGGCTTGGCTTATTACAGGAGGTGATGCGAGCGATGCAGGGGATTCCAGCAGAGAATAGGCCTCGTGACGGGTCAATGGAGCCGGTGAGGCCGAATGAACGAGACAATCTTGTGGAGGAAGCCCTTCGGGGAACTAAAGGCCGATCAGGAGTAGGCATTGTGGCAGCCCTATTTAAGAGAGGAAGCTGATTTGGAGAAGAATAAAAAGTAACAGATGGAGAGAAAATAGAGATAAAAAGTTATAAAAGTGACTTTAACCAGGCCTCAGATAAGGCCGAAATAAATAAGAGGAATAAGTTCAATAGTAAAGAAAGAAAAATATCAAATAAAAAGTGTGTATGATTTTATCAAGAAAATTGCATATCTTTAAGATAAATCCTCTCTTGATGTCAAAACAACCACGTAATGCCCCTAAGCAAATTCTAAAATATTTAATAGAAAAACGGAATAATAGGTTTTGGCTGAGAAAATAAAAATATAAAGTGTTGATTTATAAGCAATCCACGAAGATGCAAGGGCTTATACCCCTCAAACTATGTAGAAATATGTGATTATGAGGGCGAAGAAATATGGTGCAAAAACTCATGATAACATAGCAAAAAATAAAAAATTTCTTGTTGGACATCTAAAGACTATCAAATTAGATAGACAAGATTAGCGTGATGCT